TGAATATCATACAATTCAATTCAATTCAATTCATCCACTATTCACACACCTCTACTTAAAACCCATTGATTAGAGTTTCAATTTTACTTGTTATTTTCCAATGAAAACTCCTGCAGTGAATCATATAGAAAATACTATAAGAAATGCTATCTGATTTTTTCATATGTGATTGCAATCGGTCAATTTTTCTATTTTTAAACTTTGCTCGAAATTTCTGTAGAATGGTGTGGAGGGTAAAATAAAAGTTGTTAACCACATATTAACAGTCGAATCGCTTCTATCGGAAATGCTCGAACTCCGGTTTGATTTTCCGCTTTTTTATAGCATCCGAACTATCTGAATTATTCTGTAATTAGTTATCTGTCCCTGGTAAGGCAAACCCAGAGTTGATTTTGATTCAACTTAAAACTTGATCTCTCATGAGTATATTAAATCCATACATGGAAACAATGTCATCAATTGTTCTAGGATTTACCCATTGCGTGGGCTTTTATGGAAAAAAAATGAACTATCCTACATTAAAGTGCTTCAACATTTCAACACCGTGCTGGCACCACACATCCGACCGACGACAATCCACCTAGATTTCGAGCGTGCCTTGCGAACGGCGGTTGAGAGAGTTTATCCAAATGCAAGGATAGTTTATTGCTATTTCCATTTCTTACAGGTAAGATTAACAATGAACTACATTTTCTGCTTGGAACAGTGGAATCTCTTCATTCAAAATGGCTTGACACGTATAAAAATTTTTAATGGAAAACCGTAAAGAAGTCGATAGGAATTTCTATAGAACTTCTATTGAATTTTCTATACGTTTTTTGCCGTTTCTATTGACATGTTCGATAGGAAATATTATATAGAAAAAGTCAATAGAATTTCAGTTTTTCTATAAAAAATTTTCGGCTCAAATTTTCTGTTTTTTCAGTATAGTTTTTTATTATCTTCTCTTCAAAAAATCGAATCTTTTCAATGTGATGGAGACAGCAATAAACAATAAGAAATCCCCATGAAAGCTATACAAATTGGAAAATTTCAAAAGAGAATATTGTACAGGAAAAAAAACGCGAAAAATCTTCTCATCACATATTTTATATTATAGGCTTTGAGGAAGAGGCTGGAGAGAGAGAAGACTAAAGCTGAGATGACACGATTAAAGAGTTGGGAACAAGGAAAAAACTTTTACAGGAAGTTAATGGCTTTGCCCTTGCTCCCAGCTGAGGATATCATCACAGGCTTCACCACGGTGAAGGATAATGCTTCACCCGACTTAAGGCTTTTCTTCTCGGATCTCCTTGGGTACATTGAACGATGGTGGCTAAGAGTAGTGACCCCGGAAAATTTTGCAGTTCATCTCTTACGCACTCGAGTTTCCAATTGTATCGAGGCATACCACCGAGTACTTCTCAAAAGAATTGGTTCGCACCCATCTATATGGCAGTTCACAGGTTTATTATTTTTTATTATTGGAAAAAGTTATAAAAGTATGATAAATTTTTTTTTTATTTCATATGTGAACATATTTTTATATTTCAAACAAGCAACTCTGAAATTACGTTAAAAATCCAAAGTAAATAAGACAAACAATTTTTTAAATCAATAGCAAAGTAATAAAAGTGGTTGAGTAGATGTTGACTTTTGAGGGGGATCGATGAAATATTATCATTATCATTTATCATTTTCTTTTTTGGAGGGCGAAATTAGAGCTACAAAAAAAGTTATGACGACACTTTTGGTTACAAACGCGCAAACTTTTTTAAATTTCAAAAATTTTGAATGTTTAATTTTCCTAAAAAAATTCATAACATATGAAAGTTTAATTGAAATGTGTTTCAAATTGAACAGTCATAACATATGAAAGTTTCATTCATTCATGGAGTGTTCATTCACTCCGCTACAATGAAGATGTCTTGGATTGGTTTACCCTTTGGCTACGTATTTGTTTTGAAAATCTCTGGTTATAGAATCCATTGCCCAATGAGTTCCGCGTTGATCTATTTTGGTAAAATCTATTTTTGTGGCACTAATAATGAATTGAATTTGCAGAGTCTCTCAGAAATCTACAAGTTGTAACATGTACCGAGGCGATCGCAGTTATTAGTGGCAGATCTGTGAGACGTCCCAAAGCAACAAAGTACATCAAACAAGAAGCAATACTGAATAGGGCCTGGCAATTATATGAAGAGGGGGCCTTGGATGTTACAGCGTTTCTTGGTTGTGCGAACCATTTCCTCCGTGCATTTAATAACGACGTATTAATCGATAATGTGGAGGCGGTCGACTACTTCACAACAATACAGGAGCATGTCGTTGGTTGGTATTCTAATACTATAGTAAAAGAGATGTCCAACGTCAAGGGTGACGACTCTTAATCCTGATCCGCTTGAAATCCAATTCAATTGATGATAGTACATTATATGCAATGTGGTATCCGAATATAGCCACTGAATTTTTATCACATTTATACTGGATTTATGAAATTTCGATTTTATGGTGTTTAAAACCTATTAAAAGTGTTTAATATCAATTAAACATTGTTAATAAGTTTTGAAAACAACGATTCAGCAAAATTATATAAATAACTGCCAATGAAAGGTCAATGTATTTAACTTAGTCTTATACCTACTCATATCCACTGATAAGTTTCTCCTTCTTCATTTTTTAATTTGAGATGTGATTTTCTTGAAGGCATCCCACCCATAGCAGCTGAAATCGAAGCCGTAAGAGTCGACCAACCGATTGGAGAAATCCCTTTTGCTACTGTTCCACCTGCTAATGACGGTTTGGAAATCCTATTGTGTAAGGGAAAGGGAAAAAATTCCCTCATTTCACTATCTTTATGAAAATTTCAACTTTTCCATGAATGTTTCACGTCATACAATTGTGCAACATCAATTGTCTTTGATCGAGAATTATGGAGATTGAGTCATTCACCATATTTTTCGAATTGTCATCCAATTTCGATTTGTTTACCATAAATTTCTGCAGAGAACATGCTTTTTTTTTAATTAACCATCAAATTCTCCTTTTAATTTTCGCTATATATCTTTCAAAAAAATTGTATGGGATAAATGAGATTGTTATAATGATTTTTAATGATAATCAATTGAAAGTTGACCGTTTGAACTTAATACTAACAATTCAAGCTTTATAACAATTAGTACTAGATGCTCACAATTTCTGCATAGATCAGAAAAATTATATTCACTATCCAGGCATTAATTCCTTCAAAACTTCTAATTTTCTTTTACGATCGCAGTGCGAAGATTAGATCAGTGCATCTGTGATTTATGCAATAATTCCATCGTGGAATATGTTGCATCACCATGCAGGTTTGGATGTAAAAACTGTACGCTGCTCTACGTCCATACAGCTTTAGAGATGAATGCTTTCTTGAAGTGTCGTTGGTGTCGCCAAGAGTGTCGTGGATTTCAACGTATCCTTGTAAGTATACCGTAGCCTTCATTCAATTACAAAATTTTAATTTATTTCATTTCACTGGAACATCAATGTTGCAGGTCACCTAAACATCTCTGCGGGAAATTCAACGGTTCAGAGGCATCTTCGGCTGAATATGAATTTTTTGGAGATTTTAGGACAGTCTCATTGAAAGAAGAGTGATTCGTAATAGTTTTCAAATATTAGTTATACCTAGTAGTTATACCTGGACTCCAGTATTCCGAGCAGTTGTTCACCGTGATGAGTGTTTGATCAGTGTCTGTATGTGACCATGCAATGAGATCTGCATAATAATTAAGTTTGCAGTTTCAATATTATAATTCTATCCCAAAACGACGCAAAAGTAATTGATTTCTGCTGAAAGGAAAAAAAAACAAACTCACCGATTCACAGCAAACTGTTTTTATTCCACGAGTAGAAACTAATGAGATCTCTTCAGAGATTATTTTCATATTTTTTCATTTTTTCCAATGTAATCACTTAGTATCTTCAATAAACTATGATATGAATTTAACAGTGTTCATTCTGGTAATTTGCGAAACTGAATAAAATTGAAATTGTTTTGTCCAGAACCTTGTCGAATTTATTTTCTAGTTCGAGGAATATTTACCGCAATGCAAACTCCCCCCTCCCCACGTTCAATTGATCGTATCGTTGTAATCAACATCTTTATAAGAACCTTGACATGAAAATTATCATGCACTAGTGGTTAGACGAGTGAATTTAATGGCCATTACAAAATGTAAGTGATCCACTTATTTAAGAATGTGAAAAATGAGAATGCCACTGTAGAAACTATAAATTCTTCGAGTGTTCCGTGTTGAGGATTACCCTAGAATATAGTGTTACGGATTTTCAATATTGAAATCAATTGAAATTTTCNTATGGCCGGTAATACCCGCAAAATTCTGTTTTACCAATAGAAAAACTTATTCAGTCATAGGTAATCATTTTCGGCTGTCTACCATTTCAAACACAGGGACAAATGCAAGGTTGCCATTTCGCCCCCTTCCATATTGTAGCATATACATTTTAAACAAGTATATTGAAGAAAGTTTGCACTGTGCTATTTATGAAAAATTCTAAGAGTAGGTTATCTTATCCATTGCACATTCAAGCTAATGGATTAATTTGAATATTGCTATTTCAATTGTTTGTCCGACTCGGCGTGTGGAACTCGGGAAATCTGGTCTCAAGCCACTCGCACTCGTTAAGTTTTGCGGAGGACGGACACGTGCCAACGCGACGGAGACGACAATGAGTGGGAGCAAGCGCGATACATATTCCTTTCTCACTCAGGGGGTAATACCGACATTAGTATACCTGCATGTTTTACCAACAAAAGTGTATTCGCATTTAGCTCATGCGCCACCACTACGAAAAAATCCCAGTCAAAACGTTTACATTGCCTTGAGAGATCTCCGTTATAATCTCTGGTCTATCCTCTTTGTTTGCAACTATGGAGTGCCCGCAGGGTGACGCCACAGTCGCGCCCTCCTCATGTTAATAAAAAAAACTCAAACGAATCAGTAATAATTTCAAAATAGATGAGATTATTGAAGAAACATCTACAATTCGATTATTCATTCTCTTCTATCCGAAGATTCTCAACTAATTGCTAATTTCTAAAAAACGTGGGAAATTCCATCTTGGCGGTAAACTCGGAGACTCCTATTGGTTGCAATCCGAGAGGGTCGAAGATTCACCAATGGAGTGGCGATGTACATTTTGGTTACCCGTGGCTTTTGGCGCAATTTGGCCGTGAATTACATTTCGGTCAGTTAAGCAATCCTATTACATCGTGAGACACGTTTCTGGTAGCAACAAGTCTTATCAAGTACAAAAAAATGCCTCTCAGCCCGTACAACAAAGAGAACATTAGTGAGAAAGTAGACAACACTGCTCTCAAGAATCACGTAAGTCTTAATTGATTATATTAAAAATATTCGATGTAATTAGCAAAATGAAATCATAAAAATCATTATTTCAATTTTTTCATGTCACTCTTATTTTCTTGTGTTTTGTTAACAATCAATATTGCATTAAAAAAATAAATATTCTGATATTTCTAAATGAAAATGAAAAGGAGCGGATTCTTAACCATCAAAAATGTTAATATCCTTTGAGATTCTTTCATTACAAGGTTCTTATAATTTTCAGTCAGCTGAAGAAATTTCCATAATTTTCCCACGTATAACCTTGTATAGGTGACAATCGGAGTGGAGTCACCGTGTAACTAGTAATATTAATACTGCGAATTCAATGAGAACATCGTGACCGTAATTTTATCATGAAAGTTCGTCGTGTTGTCCAACTTTTTTGTTTTTTGTTTATAAAAACCCTCAAGTGTGATGAACCTTCGACATTTCACTAATCAGCAATTTATCACGAGTACTTTGCTGCTAGAACTCTTCAAAAACAAGGAAGATTAGAGATAATTCGTAAATGCAATGTGGTATGTCAACCGAATCTGGGTCTATTGTATCAGGTATCTCCATTGAAGTCTCCGTCGAAGCGCAATTCTAGTGGTGGAATATCACCGAGTAAGAAGCTTCGTATGACGCCAGAGACTTCAGGTGCACTCAGTACCATTGACAAACCAGATACAGAAGTGAGTATCAATCGATCGATCACATGAATGAGAATCAGTTTCACAGGTACAATGTGGGAATTCCAACCTAAATTTTTCATTTGTACTTTCACAATTTTTTTTGTACCAGAAATTAAGAAATGCTGTAAGGAAACTAGACTTGAAGGAGAATGATTTCGACCCACAATTGGAACCTCTTCTTAAGGAGAATCCTCGGAGATTCGTTGTCTTCCCAATTGAATGGCCAGACATTTGGAAATTTTACAAAAAGGCTGAGGCCTCGTTTTGGACAGTTGAAGAAGTCGATTTGTCGAAGGTAAAAGCAATCAATCATTGAATTTTTCGATTAATGTTAATCGTAAATTGATCTTTAAAAAAAACAGTTGTACCAATCTTTACAAGTTATTTTAACCTCCAGGGTAAACTTGTCCACATATAAACTGGATGGCTTAAGGATGTTTATCCAAAATTACACGCACTTGAGAAATTTTTCATTTTGAAAAATTTATTTTCCTTTTGTTGATGAAAATTTTAGTCCACCAATCCGAGTCAATTATTTATAAGTAGAATAGACAATATGCTCCGAATACAGGCGTTAACATGTGGTTATATGAAACTCAGGCCCGGTTGCATCACCCCCTGTTAAATTTACCAGCCAGGAAACCTCTGGTAAATCTTTGATAAATTTTATTCGGATGTTACTGGAGGTTTATCGAGAGTCTACTTAACAGAGATTTATCCCCCCGGTAAATGTCTGTTAAGTAATCCTCAATTAGTTTGCAATGATTTCATTCTTTAAACTTTGAAAGGTTTGATTTTTCACTTAAACTTTTTTTAGGAAACATTTTAAAAATCTGAAAAAATTGGAAAGTCTGCTTTTGGAACAGAATTGATAAAATAATTAAAAAATTGCAATATTTGAAAATTAGGGGTTGCCCGGTGGCCTGGCGTAGTGGTTAAGGCCGTTGCCTCACAACGGATAGGTTCCAGGTTCGATTCCTGGCCGGGTAGAATGGTGAGATCTAACCATTTTTAAAGTCTTGATCAATCGCCATATAGTCTCATCAGACTCNATTTGAAAATTAGGGGAGAGTGGGGCGAAGTGAAACGACCCGACAAAGTAAAACGAGGGGTAGAATGAAACGCGGAGGAAAGTGAAACGGTAGCGAATTTCCTTCTTAAGGGTCAAATGAGAGAGTGATCAGGAGGATCGAAAGTTCTTAAAGGTCAAGTGGGAGAGACAAGTACAGTAATCAGAAGAGTCGAATAGGAGAGAAAGTGGCAGAGATCACTCTACTTGTTTTTGCCATAAGACCCTGAGAAATTTGCAGCCATCTGATTTCTTCCACTGTTTCTCAAATCTGTTCGACCCTTCGTTATTTTTTTTTGGTAGAGGGATAGAGGGGTAAAGAGACCGTGTGGGTAAAATGGATCACAAACTGTTTTTCATTTAAGGAGAAGTTACTATGAGTTTTAAAAGTCACTGAATATTGCAGTGAGATTTATCGTACATTCAAGATCGATTATATATCTTGAAAAACGAACAATGAGTACAAAAAAAGATTGTTTATTGTATGTTTGCCCCCCAGGCGCTTGAAATCTAACAAAATAGTCCAGTGTACTCTATTTCAGAGCTACGAGGGTCTTTTTTTTCTCAAAATTTTTTCAAATATGTGTAGAACAACAATTACGAGGTACTTGTCTCAAATTTAACTTCTAAATAGTCAATTCCGTGACTTTTTTAATTAAAAAAATCAATATTCCTGCAAAAAAGCCAAGAAAATAATCCTGAAAATAATTATAGTATTTTGGATTTGAGGAAAAAATTTAGAAGTATTCATTCTCCGGGCTGTTTTGCTTGAATATTGCAATTTTTTATTCGGAAAAGAATGAAATTGGTTATTTAGAAGTCGAATTTCGAAAAAGTACCTCGTAATTGTTACCCTACAGATCTTTTGAAAAATTTTGAAAACTATAGATTCTGAGATTTTCAATCAAGTTTGTCTATTGAAGTAGCTCCACCCTCACGATAAATTTGAAAATCATTAAAAACTGTAAGAAATCCCTAGGAAATTCGATTCGATTCGGAAGCGTATTTTGTTCTCAATTTAATGGTTCTCAATTTAATTTAAAATCATCTGAATCCCGCTATACATTCGGTTTTTGCTATCGTTTCATGTTGCCCGGCGTTTCACTTTACCCTGGGTCCCCTACGACCATTTTTTATGAATAGTAATTATTATATAATATAATTCATTCATTTATAAAAAATCAATTTTCCAGCCTGAAAATACTTTTTTCGAAATTGTAGCAAATTTATAATTTTCAGAATTTTACTAGAAATCATTTTCATGCACAAAAAATAAGGTTCCCAAAAGATTAAACAATTTCAATTACTTATTTATGAGAAGGAAATATTAACAATAAAAAAATTCTTTACAAAATGGAATTTGAATGAAGCTCGATATCCATGAATTTTTTCAAATTTATCGCATAAGAATCCAAGATAAAATCAGAAAGTCTACTTCTGGAGAAAAATCTACAACATAATTCAAAAGGTACGATTTTTGAAGATTACGACCATTTTTCATGAAAAATTTATTCAAAATATGAGTGTTCCACCCTGCAACGCTTTTTTTAGAAATCGTAACAAATTTATTAACATTCAGAATTTCACCATCAATCGATTTCATGCCTAAAAATAAGGTTTCCGAAAGTTTAAACAATTTTAATTATTTGTTTGCAAGAAGGGAATGTTTGAAAGAATAATAATTATTTACAAAATGTAATTGAACTAATGGAGAATATCCATGATTTTTTAATTTATTTTCAAACGTAATTTAATTGAAAAATTTAATCATTGAAAATGTCTGAATGTATAATGTGATCCGTATCAAACTGCAACAAGTACTTAAATATATCCTCAAATTTACTGAGTGGTTTACTGGGGAGATACTGGACCAGTAAAATTTTCGGTGCAACCCAATAAATTTACTGGACAGATAAATTTTAAGTTTGTTAGTCTAAGAGGCTGTTAAATTCGCCTAACCAGGGGTTGGTGCAACCGGGCCTCAAAGTGTTAAATATCTGCATTATTGTCTTGGGTACCCCAAGATTTTGGGTGATCATTGGATTCAGTATATTTTTTCACACTGCCCTCTATTTTTATTTTTAACTTCCCGGCCCGCAGAGAGGAAATTATTGTAATGTCATAATGGCACATTTCTGAAGACTTGTATTTATGTCTGTGCATGTGATCAAAATTTTGTCCGACGATTTCGTACAATCGCTGCATCTTTATGTAACTTGGATTTGATTAGTTTGTAAGAATGATTACCTCATTGATGATCGCCTCAATGGTTTATTAGTTACTTGCATAGAACATGTGAAAACAATTGAAAAAATGAGTTTTTTTCAACGAACACTCACCAATTTTATCTAGTAAAAGGATGGAATTTCAATTTTTTCGGTGTAATCGATGGAATTGCATATAATTCGACTAATTTTCATTCTAAAACATGAAAAACGTAAATTTTTGGAAAAGAGGTAAACATTCTTAACTTACAAAGTCAGTCCAATCGGCCCTAATTGGTTACTATCGTCATTGTTGCCTTTTGTTTGTTAATGAAGGATCTCCTTGACTGGGTGAAATTGAACGACAATGAACGCCATTTCATTTCCCACGTACTAGCTTTTTTTGCTGCCTCAGATGGAATTGTGAATGAGAATCTTGTGGAAAGATTCAGTCAGGAGGTGCAAGTCACTGAGGCACGATGCTTCTATGGATTCCAAGTTGCTATGGAGAATATACATTCTGAGATGTATTCCCTTTTGATTGAAACTTATATTTCAAATCCACAAGAAAAGTAAGGATGAACAAATGGCCTAATAACTCTTCGATTGAATTATACTTTAAGAAATGTATTCAATAGTAAAATGATGAACGTCAGAAGTTGACTTCCCATATCTGGCTTAATTTATTAAATATTATTCCAATAATGACGTAGTTCAATATAGAATCACCCAAGGCATATTTTTGTTAAAAATTGATCCAGCTAGAAAAACAAATTTCTTCTCATTTTCTCCCGAAATCCATACGTACTGAAATTTTACCATTTCAATAATAAATTTTCAAGTTGATTGTTAGAAATTGATTTTCTAGACAATATTTATTCAACGCGATTGAGAATCTCCCCTGTGTAGCGAAGAAAGCTAACTGGGCACTCAACTGGATTGTAAACGAAACTGCAACGTTCGCCGAAAGACTAATCGCCTTCGCCGCTGTCGAGGGAATTTTCTTCTCTGGTAGTTTCGCTGCCATCTTCTGGTTGAAAAAGCGTGGACTCATGCCTGGTCTCACTTTCAGTAATGAGCTTATCTCCAGGGACGAAGTAAGTTATACTTGTAAGTTAACTGAAAAATAATTTCCTCTCAATTAAGCCTTTCTTAAATCAAGGAGCTTCCAAGTTGATGATTGCCAAGTCTAGTATATTTTATTTTGAGCTGAATATTCGAAGAGTTAAACGAAAATGTCAATTTTAAGGGAATAATCTAAAAGTCATTCTAGTGAAAGCTATATATGAAGTATTCCATGTCAAGTCTCTCAGCTTCTGATTCTCACCTTCTCGAAAGTAAACATGAATTTATTACGAAGTTAGGCGGGACTTCATAAACTTTTTCTCAAGTTTTTCAGTATTTTTCTGTAGCCTATATGAGAGATACTTTTTGTTACGATTTTTTCTTTCTTTTTTGTTTATTTTTCTTTTTTATTATATCTCGTATTTTAATCAGCTGATTTCAATCTATCAACCACCAAAACTTTACATTTTTCGGAATCTTCACGAATTTGTAGGATGGAATTAATTTTGCTATTCAATTTCAATAATAAAGTTTCAAGAAACGATGTTGAAAAACTCAGATTTTGCCAATGTCGTTACGTTTTATTTTCTTCATATTTTCATCATCCATTCTGGCAATTAAAACAAATGTTTTCAGCTATACCAAAAAGTTGGGCAAAGTCTTAGATCTATTTTATTTTCAATTTTTTTTGTTCAAAATTTCCCCTTTTTTGTTGCAAATCCTCGTAAAGTCTTAAAATGATATTGAGTATATACCTTAAAAAAATATGAAAAATAATTGAATGAATAATTTTCAAGAGTATAATCAACATTATCTGAAGACTTTGTGAATATTGCAAACAAAAATTGGTGAATTTTGAACCAAAAAAATTAGATATATTCCGGAGGTTGTCCAACTCCTAATATGGTTCAAGACACTTATTTTCGTTGTCAGACAATGGGAAAAATTCAAGTTTCTAAACTTTTTTTCTTAAAAATTCGTGGTTGTAATTAGGGATTGAAAAAATATATTGTTGAAACTTATTTGTTTCCTAGGTGTACTTAACCATCGAGCTTACTTCATTCCACCATTTTATTACATGATGATAAATCATTAATTTTCAGGGTCTCCACTGTGATTTTGCCTGCCTCCTCTTTAAGCACATTGTCCAGAAGCCATCGAAGGAACGTGTGATCTCCATAATTACAGATGCAGTTCACATCGAACAGGAATTCTTGACGGACGCTCTTCCAGTCGCTATGATTGGAATGAACTGTGAATTGATGTCACGTTACATTGAATTCGTTGCAGACAGGCTGTTGGTAGAACTTGAGTGTCCAAAGGTAAATAATCGTAGGCCAGAAGAAACATTTCTCGCAAATGAGTTTACAATACGAGCCAAAGACAAGTGGAAAAAGAAAATAAATTTTCGATACTGCATCGTATATTTTACTATCCTCTATTTCAATTTTTCTCTTTTAGTATATGAAATACTCAGTCCATTATGACGTTCATTTCCTTCACAACTTCAAGATAATCCATTCGCCATTTTGATTTCCAATCATTTGTTCTTAAATTGGGATGGTCTGTATGCCATTTTGAAGCTTGTGTAATGCGCTGAGATTGACTTTAAATTGAATATTTGAGAAGATCAACTGGTTCATGAACACTTTATCGTTCAAGTCACAATCGTAAAATATCACACTGTGAATTTTACTTCTGAAGCATTCATAAATTACGAAGTTATGAGATTGGAATTAAAACAGTGCATTGCCTACTTTATCAAGGCTCGTGATCGTGAATTCGTTATTTGGTGATATATTGATATATATTATAACTATATATTTATATGAGCGAGAATTATAATTTGCTGCTCATGATGTGTCATCGGTAGAAAATACTTTTTGGGGACACTTGAGATTACCTTCCTCTATCGTACCTTAGTCGGTCTAAGGTATGATAGAAGCATAGACATTCCTATCTAAAAAAAGAGAGCACTGTCATGGCGGCCACCGCAAGTGTCATGGTGCACTGCTCATGGGCACATTCAAAGAGGAAGTCAATCCTCTTTGGGCACATTGATGAGAATTTTTGGCGAGTTCTCATGTGAATTGTCATGAGGATGAACAATGCGACTGCGACGGCGCTATTCAAGAAAGTGCGCGAGAATTACAAATTTCATTTCTTACCTCGAAAAGAAGAAACAAGCATCGTATATATACATACATTGAATACATCAGTGTATATTTTCTACACAAGAATTTGTTTACAATTACTGGAATGAAAAATTTTTTTTGTGTGACAAGTGTGAAGAGCTAATAAGATTAACCGATTGATAATTAGATAAACTTGAATGTCGATAATGGAATGAAAAAAATTGGAAATCTAAAAATATTCGATTAAAATTTTTTTATTCCATTTTTGTTTTTCGAGGTTTTGTTTAATGAAGTCAATACTTTATACCACAAAATCAAAGAATATTGAATTTTCTCCATGAAAAAAAAAATCTGACTACTGTTTATGTGAAGATTTTCAATCATTATTAAATTGGCTAGAAGATCGAAAATAAAGCATGGATTAGCAACGGTTTTCGAAGGGAATGCCACAAACTTGCATTTTTCAAAATTCCCGTCATAGGAATGAATAATAGAAATAGTTCAACCTTCCAAAAATATAATTTTTTTCCATGAAATCGTTTTTTGGTTGTGACGTGTGGAGCATCCACACGTGTTTAATCAATATTTTAATAACAAAAGTATTTGCGGGTCCGATGCTGAATAAGCAGTCACACGGTGTAACAAGAGTCAACCTGAGCTCTTTGAAGGTAAAACCGTGGGAGTGCTTATCAAGCATTTTGGATTTGCAACCGCCTTGCGACTCTGTTCCAAGGCAGAGTACGGTGGGAGGCCGAAGTGTCCAGACGTTGGCCTTCCCCAAAAATCTAGATCCGCGTACGCCGAACCCATTTAACCCATTTTGTCGTGTAACCTTCCTATTAATTAATTATATTCTCATGATTGGATAATTTGGAGTGTTACTGGTTATTTGGGAGGAGAACCATTCCTAAATCTCCCTTCCCGATTAGTTCCCCCGTAACCGGTATCGCTAGCTAGGCGAAAGGGTCAACTGACGACCCGCGGATTTTAAGATACAACTAATAGTATACTAAAATCCCAAACCTAACATGGTGAAGTTCTGAAATCGGAAAAATTCGTTACAATTCAGGAAAAATTATTCTTAGAATGGAAAATGGATTATTATAGAATTATTTATATGAAAAAACGTCGCAGTCTCAGAAAATGGCGATTTTTCAATCATTCATTAGTCTACTGGTGAAAAAAAATTTAAATTTCATGGACAGTTCAGTAGTAATTTTTAGGACAGAGACATTTATTCAGTTTGAGAGGGAAAAATCATGAAAATTGAAATTCTACTGAAAATTCGACGGTATTCAATATTTTTTAACAGCGTGAAGACAAAAATTTACTTTTAAATTCTGATTCAAGATATGAATATTCTGTATCTAATTTCTCTGTATTTTCGATTGATGAACCAATTACACGGTCCGACAAAATTTTGACCCTTTCTCTTCTAGAGATGAAATTACCCGCATTAGGAAGATTTAATCACGTTGATTTTAAATCCGGCAACAGAATTCCTCCAGGCCTTCCAGTTTCAGAGAAAAAAAATGTTAAAGTTGCCAAAATCACCTAAAACCATTGAATTCTAAATTCAATAAAAAAATAACGCGTGCACCATTCGAACTGAAATAAAATTTTAAAAAATGGGAGAATCGAGATATATGACTAGAGAGAGAGTTTTTTGTGATTAACACATGCGTTATTTCTCAATAAATTTTTTTTTATTTTTTTTTATGCTTATTTTATATCGCGTCGAGTCTGATGAGACTATATGGCGATTGATCAAGACTTTAAAAATGGTTAGATCTCACCATTCTACCCGGCCAGGAATCGAACCTGGAACCTATCCGTTGTGAGGCAACGGCCTTAACCACTACCAATAAATTTAGTAATTAACTGTTAAAAATTCAATTTAACCCTCAAAAAAGAATCATGGTTGGAAGGTCTGAAGTTGCTCCACCACGATCATTCCATGGCCATTCCCAATGTCCATTTTTGAGGGTTATTCACTCAGTTCACAAAATGCTGATTGAAACTTAAATAATTTCAATATGCAACCAATTTTACAAGCTGTGGTGGATCTGCAAGCGATGAGACATCTTGTTGTCCTTGTTGAGGCTCAGCCTGAACTTTGGGAGAACGGTTTATCAAGGTATAGAAACCATAATAAACTCACGTGGCGAGCAATTGGTGGCCAGTTGCATCGCCCACGTCCAGGTATGGACTTTATTACTTCAAAATTGAACTATGTCAATGCATATGGAGAATATCGATCAATTTTATTCCCAAAAGAGTATTTAACTTGATGGATTTTCGTCGAGTTGAGAGATAGCCAACTGGATGCAAGGCGGATCAACCCTGATGCACCGTTTATTCTGGAGAATGAACTAATGTTTTTAAATGAAGATGATGACACCTGTTCCATTACCTCATCTTCTCCCCCTTCTCCCCCACCAAGTCCCCCTCTGGAACATCCTGAAATCCTGAACGAAGTCATAGTGATTGAGCCCGAACAAGACGAATTGCCCTAACTTCTCAAAAATTCTTCAATGGTTCTCCAACGATTCTACTCATAAATATCAAGAGATTTTATTCTCAAAATCCTCTACAATGAATTTGAAGTAATTCGACATAACGTGAAATATTTAAATAAAATCTATCAACAATAACGAGAGTGAGGTTTACATATTAACAGATTGCAGTTGAATTATTTACATATTAACAGATTCCAGTCAGATTATTCCAGGAAAATTGATAAAAATCATGAAAATGGAGGAAAATATAACGTATTTCATAATTAATTTCATAGTAATTCAACGTATTTTGCCATCAAATCGTCATATTTTCATTGAAAATTCAAGTAAGATGAGGAATTGTCGTCTACCTCGTGCTTACAAATCTGGAATTCTACTAAATTTTCAATGAAGTTTGAAATTTCATGACTTTTACGCCTCTAAATCGCATTCTACGTCACTCGCCACAAAAATTGTAAGTAGTCGACTGTCCATGAAATTCCAGTTTTTCCCTCAGAGTGTAGTTGAATAAGATCGTCGATCTAAACATGTGTCTCTGATGTTTTCTTCCTCTTGATGATTTCGGCATTCTGAAAAGAAACTCGAGACGCCTTCTTCTTGTGCGAAACATGCTCTTCAGTGGCATCGAACAATCCCCAGCAGTAGTCCGCCAGCATGTTCAGTTGAGATTTTCCGTGGTACCGCCGTTCTAGGTTTGAGATGTCCTGATGAAATCTCTCTCCATGTTCATCACTAACATCTACCAAGCTCTCGGGGAAAGAATCCAAGTGGGAAAAGAGGAAGTGAATCTTCAGGGACATATTACATCCGATAGCCTCAAGATTCTTCAGCACTTTAGCTACGCGATCTCGATAATGCGGAGAACGGGAGCTTCCAAGGAAATTTTTGCAGACATCTTTGATAGATTCCCATGCAGCTCGCTCTGTGTTATTCAAAACTTCCTCAAATTGTTCATCATTCTCCATCAATTTTCTTATTTGAGGGCCGACGAAAATTCCGGCTTTGATTTTGGCTTCGCTCAACTTTGAGAAAAATGACTTCAAGTAACTGAAAGCCTGACCATCCTTATCCAGAGCTTTCACGAAGTTCGAAATCAGTCCTAGTTTGATGTGAAACGGGGGTAAACAAATTTTGTCGGGCTCAGCGAGTGGTTCTCTGATGAGATTCCGTTTTCCAATCGTGAAATCATCACGAGGAGGCCAATCACGCTTACTCCAATGATTTAATTTGTCTCGGCTATCCCAAAGACACAAGAAGCAACAATTCTTGGTCCAACCCAGCTGCAGTCCTAAGATGAGATCCACCATTTTCAAGTCGGCTGAGATGCGCCAGTTATAATATCGATATCCAAGTTTTTCCAACAGAAACTCGACATTGGCGTGACTTTCTTTTAAGGTGGTAGAATAGCCGATGGGTAGGGATGGATAATTGTTACCAATGTGCAGCAAGACTGCCTTCAAACTAGCTTTTGATGAATCGATAAACAATCGCCATTTGTCCGGATCATGTTCTATGCCCATGCTCTTCATCAGTCCATCAATATCGATGCAGTAACAAAGCTCCGGCTCTTCTTTAAAAAATTCGTGCAAGTGTGACTCACGGACACGATATTTCGTGATGCGAACCCCGGCTTCCAAGAGATACATCTCTTTCAAGCGCGAGGATAGCAATTCCGAATTTTCCTTGCTTAGCTTCATGTCTTTAATCAAATCATCCAAACGGTTTTGGTTGAAGAAAGTTGGTCCTTTTCGACTCTCCGCTTTTAACGTGGGCTCGTAGGTAACATCATCGTTATCTTCGATGGACTTCCTCGATTCTTCCTCTGTCTGCCTTTCTGAAGGAGAGTCAGCCAAAGTTTGCGGAATGCTGCGATCGACTACTGGCAAATCCACTGAAGGTACCTTTGTGTACGTCATTTTATTCTTGTCTTTTCTTACGTAGCGTCGGAAGTCACTTAGACAGAAATAACAGTCACTAGTGTGATCTCTCGGCTCTCTCCGAACTGCAGGGGTGGTAAATGGTGATTTTTTACCCTCGTTAACGAATGCTGTGAGTTGTCGGCAGCAGGATGAGCAACATTGATGGGGAGTCCATGATTTCTCCAAGTTGATCATCGGGCGCTTGAAGCCTCTTTCGTATCCATCTTTAACTAAGTCTGTGATGTTTCTCCATTGCGGTTTGGGCATGTATTTGGCACAGACGTAGCAGAAGAAATCAGGAGAAATTTTACAATTACGTGGCATGTCTGTGACTTTGAGTGACACATTGAATTGAATGACTGCTGTCAATGTGCAACTCAAGCTCTCATTTGGTAAATAAAATATAGA